GCAGTGCGTGGGATAGTGTGTGAGGGGGTGCTGGCTGAGAACTGAAAGTAAACGGTGTACTTGAGCGCCAGGTAGGAGGGGCTGGGAGCACTCAGGCCTGCCAGGGACACAGGGCCAGTGACAACCCCTTATGGGGGAGAGGCCAGGACCCCTTCAACCTGTGCCCCCTCTCTCCTTGGGGCACCAGGGGACCTGCCCAGCCCCCTTAGGGCCATAATTGCTCCCAGCATCCCCCTCCCCAACTCCACCCTCAGTCCCACCCCAGCACTGGATTCACATCACCCCTCCACCCTCAGGGACAGTCCTGGTGCCCACAGTCCCAGGGAGAGGCCTAGTGGGCAGCAGGTAACTTCTGAGAGATCACAGGTGCCCAGCTCACTCAGGGCAGAGCTGGAGAGAGGGGCACAGCAGAGGGAGGAGGAGGTAGGGCCATCCTGGACTGCCCAGGGAGTGCTGCATGGCCTGGCCACCTGCCTCCTCCCTGCCTCACTCCACTGGATTGTTTTTTTGTTTTGCTTTGTTTTTTAAAGGGTGACCATGAACCCAGGTCAAGGCCACAGGGAGGCTGTGATGTCTGGGATGAATGGCCTGTTGGGTGCAGGGTAGAGAGCAGGTGCCTGGAGGAGGGGCCCCTGGGGATGGAGGCGGCATTGGCTCCCACGGTATCCTGTCTGTGTGTGAGTCACAGCTCTTTCATTTGTAAACGACACAAACCCAGCTGAAGCTGAGCCAAGCCAGACCAGGCGGGTCGTTAACCCACAGAACTGAGCAGTACCCGGGGGAGATCCAGCTTCAGGAATGAGTGGCTCCAGGACTTTGATCTGAGTTCCCAAGATCCCCACCTCCCTCTAGGTGCTGCCCTCAGCCTCAGGCGTCACTCTGACCTCTCATTGAGTCATCCAAACTGGGGTTGGGGTGAGACCTCCACTCTCTTCTAGCAAAAGGCCCCTTTGCAGGACAGAACTGAGTCTCTAACCAGGACACTTGCTGCTCCTCCAGGCAGGCTGTGCTTCCAGAAGGAACTGTGACAGTGGCTGTGTGACTTTCAACAAACCACTTGGCCTCTCTGGCCTTTTGTACACGATGGTGCCAGCTCCTTGTGTGTTATAGCCACAGGTGTTGGCAGGACTCCAGGAAGCTGCGAGCACACAAGGGGACGGGAACAGGTGCATCCCAGCCTCCACCAGTGATGGCTGCCAATGCTCTTTGAACCCCATTTCTAGTTTCTTAGTGTTGAGGTGAAACAGCATGTGGATGGGGGTCGGGATGTCACATGGCATCCCACGGGAGCCCCAGCCACACAGGTTACCACACAGGGAGAGGCTGAAAAGGGCAGTCCTTGGGGAGGGTGGATATAGACCGGAAGTCAGTGGCTATGTCTGACTCCAGCTGGATCTGAACTGCCGCAGCATTCTCAGCAGCAAAGGTCTTGTGTATTTCCCTCCAGCGACGGGAGAGGGGAGGGGCGGGACAAAGTGCACAACTCAAGTTCAACTCCCTCAAGGACCCCAGAAATCCGGTAGTGCAGGCAGGCCAAAGAAAACTTACACCTCTCCGCCAGTGTCTGTCCTGTGCTCTGCCACCAAGCACAACCCTCCTTTTAGAACCGTTATTGGAGGAAGCCAGGGCTTTCTAAGCCAAACACAAGACACAAGTGTGGGTGGGGCAGCCTTGTAGGGAAGCAGAGTGCCATAGGGACGCAAGTTCGAGTCCCAGCTGCTCTGTTTGCAAGCCAGCTCCCTTGCTAATAGACCTAGGAAGACAGCAGAAAGTGACCCACGTGCTTAGATCCCTGCCATCCATGTATGAGACCTGGCTCCAGCCAGGCCCTGCCCTGATTGTGGTAGCCATCTGGGAAATGAATCAGTGGATGCAAGATCTCTGTCTGCCTTTTTCTTTTAAAGATTTATTGTTTTTATTGGGAGGGCAGATATACAGAGGGAAGGAGAGAGAAAGATCTTCCGTCCGCTGGTTCACTCCCCAAGTGGCCACAACAGCCTGAACTGAACTGACATGGAGCCAGGAGCCTCTTCCGGGTCTCCTACGCAGGTGAAGGGTCCCAAGGCTTTGGGCCATCCTCGATTGCTTTCCCAGGTCACAAGCAGGGAGCTGGATGGGTTAGAACCGGGCAGGCATATGAGATCCTGGTTCGTGCAGGGCGAGGACTTTAGCCGCTAGGCTACCTGGCCCCTGCTTGCCTTTCAAATAAACAGTACGGTAAGTCCAGAGAGGTTTCTGAGCGGCTTGTGGAGAGAGGTGGGGCACAGATCAGCTCCTGTGGGGAGGGAGAGATGGGGTGGGTACCCCGCTGACAGCTACAGCCCCAGAGACACTGGTCCAGCCATCTCAGAGGAGGCACCCTGGAAGTTTGTCATATTGGCCACCTAGCACTCAAGCACTCATCGTAGACGCGGGGGGCCGGGGGGCGGCCACAGCTGGAATGTGATGGGAAAGGCAGTAAATACAGTTTTGAAGTCACGGAAAACCAGCTCCCATTGTTGGGTGTGTAGGGAACATGCCTGGATCCCATATGGGCACCGGTTCTAATCCCGGCAGCTCTACTTCCCATCCAGCTCTTGTGGCCTGGGAAAGCAGTTTGGGACCCTGGTCTGGGAAAGCTTTGGGACCCTGCACCCGTGTGGGAGACCTGGAAGAGGTTCCTGGATCCTGGCTTTGGATCGGCATAGCATCAGCCGTTGCGCTCACTTAGGGAGTGAATCATGGGACAGAAGATCTTCCTCTCTGTCTCTCCTCCTCTCTGTATATCTGACTTTCCAATAAATAAATAAATCTTAAAAAAAAAAAGTCTTTCTTCTCCCAGTGTGGGAAGCCAAGCTTTGTTCAATCCAAGAAACATAATCAGGGTGTGGGTGTTGGGTGCCCACATAACAGCACGCCCACATAACAGAGGGGACCTGAGTGTTTGTCCTGGATTCGCTCCAGACTCCAGCTTCCTGTAAATGGTCACCCTGGAAGGCAGCAGGTGACGGTTCAGGCAGCTGGCCCTGTCACCCCTCTGGGAGACCCTTAGGAACTCCTGGCTCTTTGTTTCAGTCTGGCCCAGCCATTGAAAGAACGAAGTAGTGGAAGGAGGTAAGACAGAGATGAAGATCTTCCATCCGATGATTCATTCCCCAAGTGGCTGCAATGGCAGGAGCTGAGCTGATACAAAGCCAGGAGCCAGGAGGTTCTTCCAGGTCTCCCACGTGGGTGCAGGGTCCCAAGGTCCTGAGCCATCCTCAATTGCTTTCGCAGGCCACAAGCAGGGAGCTGGATGGGAAGCAGGGCTGCTGGGACATGAACCAGCACCCATATGGAATCCCAGCGCATGCAAGGCAAAGACTTCAGCCAATAAGCTACCATGCCAGGCACCAATAGGGACATTTTTAAAAATTGCTTTTCAGGGGCTGGCAAATACTGAAACCTGAAAAAAAAAAATCATCTAAAATCCAATCCTTGTATCCCTCACATCCTGAATAAGGAATTGCTGGATGCAGGACGGTCCAACTGCCTCACTTTTCCATGCCCTCATCTGCCCCCAAGCCTCACCCCGCGGCTTCTTGCTTTCTGCAGCTGACATCCGTCCACGCCAGTGGCCTTGCCCATGCCAGTCCTCATTCTGAAGAGACATGTGACTGTCTCACACCGTATCTACCTCTGCCCCAGTGACTGGAGTCTCCATTGTGTCTAGCTGTAGCCATGGCAACACTGCTTGCACCTGCCTCCTCAGGCCAGACACTGCAGTTGCTCAGGGTCCATCCCCAGGAACTAGCTAGCCAGGGCACTGGTTCCCGGTGACAGCTTCACTAAATGCCACAATCATTGCCCAAGATGGTGTCATCAGTGGGCCTCGTCAGTCTGCTCCACCCAGGCACAAAGGGGACTTATTTTGATTTCCCAGTGGAAAGGACTTCAGACTGCTACTTGCTGCTCAGCCTGCCCAGTCACCTTCCGGGACCCTCCCCACCACCATGGGCTTGCTCACAGCTTCTTTCAGGCTTTCCCATCTAGGCAGCAGCTGGCATTGTTCATGATGTCCTGGGCGAGGGCATGGCCAAGCCGGGAAGATGGATCCTAGAGGGAGTCCGCCTCACAGCCAATCCCAGCTGCACCTCCGGGCAAGCTGGTGGAGGGGAGCTGTTGCCTACTGGTCCCAGTGACTGGGAAGTCTCGGGCTGGAGTGGAGAGCTACCTCTGGGAGCTCTAATGACACCACTTAGAGCTGGCCTTGTCGGCCTGGGACCACGCTGCCCTCCTCCGTTAGCCCTGGCTCCCAGGACCACATCCTTAGTAACAGCCACGAGCCAGACAGCAGCATCTCTCCAGCCCAGTCTGGCTCCCCAACCTGTCTGGACCCCAAGCCCTCACGGTGGTGGTGGGGGCAGAGTGGCAGCTGTGGTCCAGGGACTGACCTCCTGAGACAGAGGTGAGATGGGGCTGGCTCAACAATGTCCCACACCATGTGCAGTGAGAGCCCAAAGGGAAACTGAGACAGAATTCCCACCCCTTGGGGACACAGATCTGAGCCAGGTTAAAACAACAAGGCTTGGGGCTGGCCTGTGGCACAGCAGCTTAAGCTATTGCCTGTGGTGCATCCTATATAAGTGCCGTTTTGAGTCCATTTCCAATCCAGCTCCCCGCTAATGTGTCTGGGAAAATAGCAGAAGATGGTCCAAGTGCTTAGAGACCTACACTCATGTGGGAGAGCTGCATGGAGCTCCTAGCTCCTGGTTTTAGGCCAGCTCAGGCCACTGGAGCCTTTTGGGGAGTGAACCAATGGATGGAAGCGCTTTCTCACTTGCTCTACATCTACCTTACAAATAAATAAAGTTTTATTTTTACCACACCCCTCACTACCCCAGGTGGAACTGTGAGACACGTGACCGCGTGGGGGTCCCAATCCCTCCCCCACACCCGGGAGGGGACGCCCCACCTGCAGGTCAGTCACGAGCACAGCAGCATCAGAGCAGAGTCGAGTAGCACTGTGGCAATAGACTAGGCCATTTATAAAGTTCCGTTTATTGAGGCGGTCACAAAAGGTAAAGTTAGAGAGGCCCTGGAGGTCATTGAGTCCCGCTTGTAAAGACACAGACACCAAGGCTGCAGGGGAAGCGTGTCACCGTCTGCACCCTGCTGTGGCACCATCACAGCCAGTGGCCGTAGCCCCCATCCCCCTGGTGGCCACCTCACAGTAGGCAGGTGGAGGGGGCAACATCTGAGCCCTATCAAGTGCCACCTGGGGTGAGAGGCCTCACAGAGGAGGGGGCCAGAGAGCTCCACTGCTGCTCCTCACAGTGCCTAGCTGGGGCACTGGAGAGTGCCAAGTCCTCCGTGTGGGCCTTTATTCTCTTACAAAAGGGAGACAGGAGACTTTGTTCTCTGGCTACATCAGAAGCAGCAGAGACTTTGTGGGGGAGGGAGGGAACCACAGACTGGACCCCAAAGTGACAATAAGTTAGGGGGCTAAATTCTGAGGCTGTCATCAGGACATGATGCCATGGGGGTGGGAGGGTGGGGTCGGGCGCCCTGCCTCTCCAGCCACTCGCAGCCTCCCAGTCCAAGGGGTCTCAACAAGGCCGGATCTGGAAGTAAAGAGGCGACAGGCTGAAAGGCAAGTGAGGACGTGGGGCAGGAGATGGAGGGAGCCCCCCACCTCCCCAGGGGCAGGGCGCAGGGAGGGCTTCAGAGGGGTCCCCCCCGGGGAGGAATCAGGGAGGGCATCTCACCAGGTCGGCAGCCCTCAGTTAAGACCCTGTAGATTCTCATAATCTGGTGGTTCTTCCTCTTCCTCCTTACCCCCCACCTCCTGGACATGGAGCTTGGCTAGAGGGATCGGAGAGGGGAGGTTGGTCTCCAGGCTACAAGCTGCCAGGCCTCTGCAGTCCCCACCCCTGGCACTCACCAGGCTGGCTCCTGGACTCCACGGGCAGCTCCTGCAACACATTTACGTACTCCCGGCTCCCATCTGTGGGGACAAGTGAAGGGGGGTCATACTGTGGGAGGGGCCCCAGCGGGATGCTCCCCCTCCCCACCCTGGGGCAGAGGGGAGAAGGCTGTGGGTGGCCCCAGGGTAAGGTAGGGGGGGGACAGTAGGGCGGCGCCAGCCACTTACCGAGGGATGCGTCCGCGCTGCCCCCACTCTCAGGGACATTCACGTAATCATCGCCAGACTCCACTGTGGAGAGACCCCCGGAGCCCACCACACACCCAGCCATGTGAGCAAGGCCCCTCGGGTGACCGCACCCAGCCAGCAGAGCCCCCAAGAGGCTGATCCTGGTCAGTCCCTGGGGATGCCCAGAGAGGGGAGGCCCACGTGACCCAGGGACACGGGGGCTTCCGCAAGGCTGGGGAGCAAGGACAGAGAGCAGCTCAGCACGCATGCGCAGAAGAGAGACGCCACGTGGTCTCCCCAGCCGCTGCCTCCTTCTCCTCTCCCACTGGGCACTTGTCACCTCCTTCTGCAAGGTATCCGTGTCCCCATGAAGATGTGAACAAGGCAGACCTCAAAACCGGTGACTCCAGCTCAGCCAGGTTCAAATCCCAGTTCCAGCACTGACTTTCCACAAAGGAACTTTAGACAAGCCCCTAGCCTTTGGAGGGTGGTCTCAGCTTTCTCATCTGTATGATAGGTTTGCTGCAGGCCTCACAGGGTTGCATGAGGAACAAGTAAGCAGGGCAGGTTCTCCAATTCTTAGTTAAAGAAGTCAGCCCTGGGGGTAGCGGATGGGAGTAATGTGGCATAACAAGTGAATCCTCCAACTGGGGTGCCGGCATGTCATGGGCGCCAGTTCAAGTCCTGACTGTTTCACTTCTGATCCAGCTCCCTGCCTGTGGCCCGGGAAAGCAGTCGAGGATGACCCAAAGCCTGGGGATACCCTGCACCCACAGGGGAGAGCCAGAAGTAGCTCCTGGCTCCTCACTTTGGATCAGCTCAGCTCCAACTGTTGGGCCATCTGGGGAGTGAACCAGCAAATGAAAGATCTTTCTCTGTCTCTCCCTCCCTCTCTAACTCTGGCTTTTAAGTTAAATAAATACATCTTCAGGGTATCGCACGTGAGGGGGTAAGAGGAGAAGGGGCGCAGGCTCGGGGCATCTAACATGGCAGACCTCAGGAAATATGAGTTACCGAGTCTCTGAGCCTCGCTCACCACCCGGAAGGAAGGAGCGAATGAATGAATGAGCAACAGCCCTGGAACTCTGGGGGGTAATGAAAGCAGAGTGGGCAAGTGGGAGCCCAGGACAAGCACATGCAGAGGAGACGGTCCCTACCAGGCAAGACCCCAGAATGCAATGAAAGCTCCGAGGATGAAACCAAAAAGAGGGGAGAAGCAGCAGCTCCAAGGAAGCCAAGACGAAGCAGGAAGAAGCCAGCGTGCACATGCAAGGCACACGACAGCCTGCAACCCAGACCCTCAGACTGCCTGCCACCAACGGGCCATGAAGACACGCCACCCACAGAGCACCACTCCCGACTCCAGCTTCCTGCTCATGTGTACCCTGGGAGGTGGCTGGGTCCCTGCCATCCACGTAGGAGGCATGGGTTGAATCCTAGGTCCCCAACTTTAGTTTGGCCGAGCCTAGGTTACTGCAGGACACTCGGGTCAGGAAGTCATTTTCCCTGCGTCTCCGAATACATTTGTGAATCTTAAAAAAAAAAATGTACAAGATATTGCCTCCATGAAACAAGAACAGGGGGCTATGAAAAAAGAACATTTGGAGCGTGAGAAAGAACATTTTGTGGCTCAGGAAGGGAAAAAAAAATACAACACAAGGATTGAGAATAAAGGCGAGGAAACCTCCCAGATGGCTAGAAACCAGGAGCCAGAAAGGCATGTAAACACATCAGGACGGGGGACAGGAGGCCGAATGCCTGAAGCAGAGCAGCTCTGGAGTGGGGAGCATCAGAGGAGGGTGGTAGTAGTCAAAGACCCCACAGGGCAGGGAAGTGTGTGGCAGGGACCCCCCTCCAACTCCCTCGCTCCACTCACTGGAGAAGGCGCTGTCCCGGAGGCCAGGGTTGCTGGGCACAGGAGCTGAGGTGGCATTGTTGCTGACACCTGAGTTGTTGTCAGGCAGTACCTCTCTGAAAAGAAGTGCCAGGCAGGTGGTGAAGGGGTGAGGATGCCCCGCGACCTCCGCCCGCACCCACCACCACCATCGCATCAACTCACAGATAGCCTTCGTTCTGGTCCTCATCTTCATCCTCATCCGCACCCTTGCAGGCCGGCTCTGCAGAGGAGCGACAGTGGGGCTCTGCACGGCCCGGCACAGACCCGAGCTGGGGCCCCAGCCTCTCTGCCACCACCCCACCCCACGCACTCTCATTCTCGTAGCTTGCCACACTCTGAGCTGTAAGGAGAGGACAAGAGGGGAACTGAGTCAGCTCGGGCCAGGCCTGTCCCCTGCCCAGCCTCCTGGTACCCCCCACCTCCCGCCTTTCCCAGACTCCCAGGGATCCTGCCACCTTTACCATCACTGGAGTCCCTCCGGGAAGACGGCATCCGGTGGGAACTCTCAGGGGGCTGTGGGGATCTCCTGGTGGGGGGGTGGGATCAAAGAGAGTCACACTTTGGAAATCACAAGGATTACAACAGCACAAACAGTGGTGGGGGAGGGGACCCCAACTCAAGGAAGCAAGCAGGTAAAGACATGCTAGGGAAGGAGTTGGGGTGGGGGGGCTACTCACGGAATGCGGAGCAGGTCTGGCTGGCTCAGGGGTGGGTCAGAGGTCATGGACGGGTAGGAGGCAGGGGACTGGTGCATCGTGTCCCGGGATACAGTGCCTGGCGGGAAGCAATGGCTCCAATCACCAAGCCTCCGCTTCACCAAGGCCCCCCACCCCTTGGACATGCCTAGGCACTCCCACCACCCCCAACTAAAATGGAGTGACTATGGAGGTGTAAGGGGATTCTCTCTCCCTACCTCCCTCCACACAGAGGACCCTCCAATACTCACAGGGTGGTTTCACCAAGATGCTCCTAGGGTATACACTGGCAGGAGAGACACAGCTGGGGTCTAGAGCCAAGCAAGCTCCCTCGGCCCCAGTTCCCAGCACACCCCCTCTACCCTGTGGGGGGAATCCCAAGGGGGGGTCACTCACCCATCCAAGGAAGAGGCACTGTTGTAGGAGTCTGGGGAGAGAGGGCCAGTGAGGAGGGAGTAGGGTCTGGATGGGGATAGAGCAGCAAAGAAAAGGGCCGCGATCCAGCGGGGGTGGGGTGCCCAATGTCCATGGGGCAGGACAGAAGTAGCACAGAACAGGCAGGGATAATGGACCCTGCCCGTGTCCCCCAGCCCCCCGGAGCCCTCTCACCTGGCAGCCGGCGGCAGCGCACACACAAGGCCATGAGCAACATGGCCAGCAGTGGCCCCAGCAGCAAGCCCAGTGCCGAGTGCGTGAGGCGGTGCTCCACCTCCATCTGCGGCGCAGTGGGGGCCGGTGGAGGCAGCGGGAGCCTGGGAAGGCAGCGGCGCCCTCTTGGCGGGGAGGGGGGGCTCCCTGGGAACCCCCTCCCTTGCTGGACTCAGTGTGAACTCCCGGGTCAGGCCAGAGCCCTGGCTGGGGTCCGCGGCTGCAGCAGGCCCATGTGTCTGTGTGTGCGTGAGCGCGGTGCCTGCTCCCCCGCTGTACCTGCCCTCGAACAGCCGCCAGCCTCGCCTTGCCTCGAGCCCGCCCGCGGCAGGAAGCTGTGGTGAAGGCAGGAAATCATCCGGGCTCCTCGGCTGGCTGCACCGCCCCTTCCCACCCCCACCCGGCCCCTTGGGGAGGGGGAGGCTCTTAGGAAAGGACCCCGGCCATTAGGATGGGAGGTGGGAGCAATGGCAAGCCATCACAGGCCAGGGGAGACAGCAGGAAATTGTGCCAGGTGAAGGCCAGTGCCCACCCGATCCTGCCCAGGCCCAGCTGGGCTATGCAGGGAGGGGCTGGGGCATGACTCAGGGTCATACAGAGCCAGCTCACTGGGGACGGCTGGGCACGTCCCCTGGGCATGCAGCCCCACAGCACAGAGATGCCCCATGGTGGTGACCTGACCACCCCCAGGATCCGGGGTGAGGGTGGGTGGGGAGGTGGAACTGAGCCGGGGCATCCCTGGGGTGGCTCAAAGGTCAGAGGTCACCAGCACCCAAACAAAGACTCAGGCAAGCACATGGGGTCTGGCTACAAAGTTTATTTTGTTACAAATAGCACCAAACCCCTGGGGCTGTTTCAGTGGAGGGGACCCCCACTCCCCCACCTGAGACCCCCAACTCCTCCCCTGGGCTGTCCATGTAGTGTCTGGGAGCCGGACACGACCCAGGGTCCCTCCTGGAAGCTGGGCTGACCCGAAGGTTCCGGCATGGGCACCTCGTCATCACCACAGTGGGCCAGGTTCAGGGCTGGCAGCAGCGGTGGCAGCAAATGTGCAGACAGCTGAGCGACAGCCACTCAGATGAGCACGCTGGACACAGGAACCCGCGTGGAGCGGCCACGCTGTGGCACCACGATACGGTCATCCGCTGGCCTCGCCTCAGGCAGCAGACCTGCAACAGAGGGGTAGGAACCAGGGCTGAAAGAGCCGAGGCCGGTGGGAGCCGGAGGGGTAGAAGGGAGGCAAGGAGCAGTGGCCAATGAGACTCAGGCCCGAAGTCAGCCCCGTCCCCGGATCCAGCAGGGCAGCGAGGGTGGGACCTTCACTGACCCTGCACGTGCAGCTGAGCCCGCCGGCGGTCACCCTCGATGAACATGGCGGTGCCCAGGAAGGCTGCCCCGCCCAGCGCCCCGACAAAGGCACAGAGCATGAGCGAGAACTGCAGGGCCCGGAACTCGGACAGGAAAGACTGGGGCCAGCTCCGGCGGAGGCGGTCAGAGATCTGCAAGGGGCACGGGCAGGCTGTTGGAGAGCAGGGCCAGGGCAGACGGGGAAAGAAGGGGGAAGGTGGGAGGAAGGGAGAGAGGGGTGGACCCTCAGGGACCCCTTCCCACCCAGGGGAGGTGACAAGCTCCTGGAACAGAAAACATGGTGGCCTTAAGTGGGCCTGCCCCTGCCCCTCGGGCCCCGACCCCTGGCCTGCAATGCTGCTCACCAGGCCGATGAGGTAGGGGCTCCCAGCGTCACCCAGCAGGTGGGACAGCACGATCTGGAAGGCCTCGGCAGTGGAGCGTCGCGTGGGGATCACCACGTACTGACAGGGCGAGAGGGAAGGGAGAGCTCAGAGGAGGCTCTCTGGGTTTAGTGGGAGAGGGGAGGGTCACGGTCAGCTGAGAGGACAGGTGCATTAGGGGTCAAGGTCTCAGGCTGGGAGGACAGGCCCCCGTGGTGTTCTGAAGGTTACAGGTCAGAGCCCCTTGGGTCCCCCACTCGTGTTGGCATCTGCTCACCAGCAGGATATCCGCCACAATGGCCCAGTTCATGGAAAGCAGAGTCTCTCCAATGAAGATGAAGATCTGGGGGGGGCACAGGAGTGGGAGAGGGGCTCACAAGAGCTCGCCTTAGTGCCCTGCTCCTCCTCTCCCCACCCCCCGGCCCATGGGCTACTCACATAGGTGGCCACAATGCTCCCACGGGCAGAAGCGAGAGACAGGAAGAGGAAGGGCGCAGAGCCCAGGAGGCCAGTGGCACAGACCAGTGGGTCGGCCCGTGGGTTGGAACGGCGCAGGCGGCGGCTGATCTCCACTCCCAGGCCCACGCCCAGGACCCCGGTGAGGCAGGTGATGAGCCCAAAGATGAGGCTGGAGGTGGCGGTGAGGACAGGCACAGGGTCAGGGGGGCTGGACCCTTGGCCCGTGAGACTCCTCCCCCTCCTCAACCCCACCCCTTTTGCCCAGCTGCCCTCACAACCCCAGTTTGTGTAGGCACAGCAACCAATGCCCATGTCCCCCCCAAGTCTAGGAATGGAGAAACTGGGTAGGGCAGGAAGGGACCTGGGGTCCCTAGACTGGAGCCCACCTCCCCAGGGCTGACCCCACCCCAGGTACCTGTCAGAAGAAGAGCAGGAATCCCCAGGAAGGCAGGGTGGGGTCTCTCCTAGGACTACCCGGGAACGTAGCAGGAAGGCTGGAGCCCAGAGGGCCAGGGAGCCCGTGACAAAGGCCACGGCTGTGAAGCCAAGAGAGGACAGCACGAAGCTAGGGCTGCAGACGGTGGAGTGAAGTTAGCCTCAGAACAAAGTGGGAGAACCCTCCCCTTCTCCCCTCCAGGATTATATTCAGTAAGGTCAGGACGTAGACTCCACCTTGGTTATACCAGGATCTGGGCCTGCAATACAAGTAGCTACCACAAGGGGACAGTAGCAACTGAACCCCTGGGGGTGGAGTCTAGTAGATCACACCCACCTAAAAATTCCCAACCAGCAGTGAGGGCATCCCTGGGAGCTCAGATGCTGGACCAGATTGGGAAAAACTCACTTTCTTGCAAGAGCTCTCAGATCCGCCCACCATGAAGTAGGGTTCAGGGGCGGTGAGTTTACATGGCGCTCCACAGCACCTCTGGGGGGTTCTCGCACCACCAGGAACAGCAGCAGAACGGCCACCACCCCAAGGCCTGGTGTCACCTGGGGGGGAGAGCGAGTGGGCTTCAGGTCCAGGGCTGGGAGAGGGAGAAGGCAGGCACACAGGAGCTCCTTGGGAGAGTTCCCACACACGGGCAGGTGCCTGCCCAGGGAGCTGAACCTGCACTGCAGGGGAAGGGTCTGCTACCAGGGTCACCCTGTTTTTATTTCATTTGAAAGACCAAGTGACAGGCCAAGATTTCCCACCTGCTGGCTCATTCCCTAAATGCCTGCAACCGGCAGTGCCTGGACCAGGCTAGGACATCATGCAGACCTCCCCTGTAAGTGGCCCTGAGAGGTGCCAGCATGTGCAGGTGCAGGAAGCTGGATCAGAAGCAAAAGACCTGGGATTTGAACCACTCATGGGGCATGCGGACATCTCAAGTGGACACTCAACTGCTGTGCTCAGGACATGCCTTCTGCAACAGCCTGACCTTGCTGCCTCATTGGCAAGAGTGCCTGGATGTCCTTCCAGGAAACCCCTCTCCCCAGTTCTGCCAATCAAACAGGATCCCAGCTGAGGCCAATGAGGGTGGTGCAGAGCAGGACGCTGTTCAAGGTTACAAGATGCTCAAGTGCCTCTCACAGAGCTGAGAGCAAAGCTGACATAGAGGCCAGAGACATGGAGGGGTCCTGGAAGCAGCTCCCAGGAAAACCAACTCCCCTAGGGAAAATCAACACCACCCTTGCTGGGACTTACAGTCTTACGGTGGGCTTCAGACACCTGCAGGCAAGCCACACACACACACACACGCAGGCACGATGGGTACTGGCTAACAAGGCAGGGTGAGAGGGCATCTGGGGTGGACGCTATATTCCATATCAGAGTCCCAGCTACTGTGCTTCTGATTCGACTTCCTGCTAATGCACCTAGGAGGTGATGGTTTGGGAACCTGGGCCACAGCTGTCCACAAAGGGGAGACCCTGATGGAGCTTCTGGCCCAGCCCCAACTGCTGTGGGCACTTGAGAGGAGTGAACCAGGGAACCAGCCTTTCAAGTAAATAAATACAATATTACTAACAAATGGTTACAGTGAGGGTCGGGTTTGAAGGAAGGCAAAGGAGATGGTGAATACAGCATTAATCTTCCCCAGGCCAACTGGACTCACCCTCAGCGCCCAGTGCCAGTCCCCAGCCACATCCTTCACCTTGGAGCCAGCAATGTAACCCAGACCACTGCGGGGAGCGAAAAGCAGGACCCCGATGGTCAGGGATGCCCCCTAGGCCAGGCCAGGCCAGCTCAGGCCCACCACCTCCTTCCCCACCCAGGCCCACTCACCTGCCCACAGGAATGGCGAAGTAGAATACGCTAAGCATGCGACTCCGCTGGTCTGCCACGAAGAGGTCGGCGATGAGCGTGGGGGCGATGGTGGAGTAACTGGCCTCCCCGACCCCCACCAGACCCCGGGTCAGGAGGAGCAGCCAGAAACGCTAGAGAAGGAGACATGGGGGGTGGCACCCCGCCTGGGTCCAGCTGCCCCAGCAACCTCACCGAGTCCATCCCGGCTCCAGGGACAAAGCAGGACACACCTGGTTTTGTTTTTGTTTGCCCTGCCCTGTCCCTGACTAGCTGTGACTCTGAGAAAAGTGGCTCAACGTCTCTGAGCCTTAGGGTGACAGCGACATGCTCACGGGTTACTGTCCGGCTTGCACGATAAGAGGACGCCGCTGTCCACCCAGCCAATCCAAGTGCCCACCCGAGACAGCCCAGTGCTGAGTGAGGAGCTGAGGGTAGGGCTGCCGGGATGGGGTGTTCACTGGCTGCTAAAGACACCTGAACCTGTGGCTGGGGCACAGTCAGCCCAGCATAGATTACCCAGGGCAAGAGAACGGATGGAGCAGGCTTCAAAGGAACCAAGATGCACCTGCCAGGGACAAAGGTGCTAGGAGCAGGGGGCAGCAGCAGCAGAAGCTCCAGAGCAGGGAAAGGTTTAAAAAGGACGAAAGCAGAGAGCAGGAGCCACACACAGCAAGTGGGTGACCGCTGTCTTCTGCAACAGCAAGTCTGGTGGTGGGGCAGGGGTCAGTCGGCGGCCCCTGAGGAGTGAGCGGGTAAGAGGAAGTGCCAGCAATGCCAGCGTCCTCCCAGGCTGTTGCTGCTTCCCCCAAGCTGCACTTGACTTCCAGGGACCTGCCAGCAGATCTGATCCAGCAAGAGGGAGGAGGGAGAGAGGGCAACAACCAGCATACCGACAAGGGGGGGGGCTCAGGGATGGAGCGGAAGAACAGCAGTGGGGATAGCAGGCAAATGAACTCAGGCAAGGAAGGGCATGAGACGGCACGGACCAAGAAAACCACAGAAGCTTCCAGGCTGCAACAGCTCCAAGGTGTTGCAGCCAAGACCAAGTGAGGGCGTGGGGCGTGGCCACAAGCGACGGCCACCTCAGGGCCTCACCTCTCTGGGGATGAAGGATGACCCCAGGGTCACCAGGGACCAGAAGGCAATGCCTCCGCACATGAGATACTTCCGATTGTACCTGTCCCCCAGGTAGCCAAACACAGGGGCCAGCACCATGTAGCTGGAAATGAACACTGAGAGGAAGGCGAGAGTCACAACCCCGTCCAGGCCCCCCGTTCCTCCCCACCTCTCACTCCAGCCTGGGCACGGGGATGGGGGCAGGAAGGAGCCAAGCCTAAGAGAGACCCGTCCTTCCTTGCCCTCAATGACCCTACCCCATCCTGCATCCCAACCCCGTGGGTCCACCAGAACTTCCCACCAGGGGCATGATCCAGCCCCATCTTTTAACCTGTTTCTGAATCTCCCATCATGGAAGGAATGGTTCAACTGGCCAGTCACTTTCTCCCCTTCCCCAAGCAAAAGCAACAGCCACGCTCCGTGCCACGGCCCACACATAATTCTCTGTCCATCCAGCCCTTCTCTACCTCCCCAGTGCCACAGCCAACTGCCTTCCTGTCCTCTCTTTCACCCCAATGGCCTGGCTCATAGCCACATGGGGTCAACACGAGCTTAGGCAGTGGAGCCCCTGCTATACCCTCAATGGGACATTCTCTACCTCAGATGGTTGAGCTCCCTGCTAACACTCAGCACTGCACAAGGCCAGCCTGCCACCTCAGGATTTTATGGACAGCTGCCCGCTAGTGCACAGTGCCAAGTCATAAACCTGGCCCATGCTGGCCATGACCGTGTGTCCACCATCCCACACTCTGCAGACCAGCACAAAAAAATGGCTCAATGCACATACGAGGAATGACAAAGCCGACCACCACGACTGCCTTCAAGAGACGGGCTGCTTCCATGTCTCTACCAGCCTTGGCCAAGGCTACTGTTCTCATTTAAGACACTAAGAGCTGGGTTCCTCTTTGGTCTGGCAATGAGTAAGAGACAGGGCCAGACCTGGCCATCCATCAACTTGTTGTGTGACCCCGGGCAAGGTGTCACTCTTCCCCAAGCCTTGCTTTCCTCCTGAGTCACAGGTACTGACACCTCCTTTCTCCATAACCTAGAACCAACCACACTTAATCCTGGGCATACAGGAGAACTAGAGACGAGGAGAGGTACAGAGGGACAAGGAGGTGGGGGAATGGCTTTGGCTTTGTCTCTTCCACAAGCCCCCAAGTTCTGCTTTTCGTGTTTTGTTTTAAGATTTATTTTGAAAAAGTTTCAGAAAGAGGGGAAAAGACAGAGATCCCTTCGCACCCCCATTCCAGAAAGCTCTTCCTGCTGCTATGTAGCGGTGCCTACAACAAGCCAAATATCATACTTGGCACTTCACAGGCAGGATTCACTTACTCCTCCCACCAGTCCTGGGAACTCAACTTTGTCATCAGCAGGTGTGAAGTTTGATCATCATCAAAGTTACAGGGACTGAGGCTTAGAAAACTCAGGTGCTTTGTCCATCATCACACAATGCACAACGCTGTGTCCCTATCGAACAGGCCAACCCCCTAGCACAAGCAAGGCTATTACCTTCCCTAGCACTGGCCATTAAGCTTCCATGAAGGCAAGCAGTGACTAGGAGGAGGGGCCCCCACACACACTCACCGGTCTGGATGAGGCCCGAACTACTGTCTCCAATGCCGAAGAACTGCTCGATGTCCGGGAGGACGCCTGCGAAGAAGGAGCAGGAGGAGGTGCTTGGGCCCGGCCACCTGCTTCCTCCCGCCCCGCCAGGCTAGCGTCCTCTCGGCGGGCAGCCCCTACCGGCCACAGTGAAGCGGTCCATGTAGTTCAGGAGGTTGATGTAGCAGAGTACGGCCACGATGAGAGCCGAGCGCGCCGGGGACAAGCCCGTGATGCGCTGCAAGCCCTCCCGGTCAGGGACCTCGGGCTCCCCGGCTTTCGGCGTCCCCGTAGACCCTGGCAGCCCCGGGGTGCCAGACGCAGGCCCGTCGTCCGGGTCATCCGCCTGGCTGAGGAAGGGCGCCGTGTCGGACCCGGCCATGGTCCCCGCGGAGAGCGGGGGCGCGTGCCCGCCCGCGCTCCGGTGCGCCACCGACAATGCCACCTGCGAAGGGAGGAGGCTGGAGGAAAGAGGGCGGCGGGAATCCAGCCGAGGGAGGTGCGCCCAGAGCCCGGTAGCTGCTTGCTCCCAAACACAGAGCACGCCAGCAAAGGGACCAGGGCCCAGTCATGCCTTCCATCCCCTCACCCCATAGACACATCGAGCGGAGGGGGCTGTGGAACTCAGGTGGTGGTGATGGCGGTGGGGGAGATGGGAAGGAGCCGAGATGCACGCAACCCTCCCCTCCCACCTTGAGAGCCACCCCTCACCCCACGCAGGAGCTCACTACACTCGCGGTCCGCTCAGCACCGGCGTAGCATCCCGGCTGCCGCCATGTTGGCCCAGGGCCGGTCATGTGATGCTGGAGTCGGGGCGGGGTCTCCGGCAAGCCCTCCGCACGTGACCGGTTGTCGGCCTACGGAAGCCTCTGGGGTTTCTTTCCAGGCTCCCGCGTCACGTGACGGCTGGCCGGTTGCCAGGGTAACCCAGGCCGGGTCGCCTGCTCCGCGCGCGCGGAAGCCTCAGCTGGCTGGGCGGGCGCTATGGCAACGCGGCGGCTCCTTCCCGCCGACACCTGCCACTCTTCTCTCCCCACCCCCGCCTGGGACGGCCTGGGCCGCGGCGGGGTCGCCACACGCTTCGGGGAGCTCAGCTACGATGTCTGGGAGCGCCCACTGGGCTGACTTCCTCGTGGGTCAGACGAGAGAGTGGGCTCTCAAAGATTTGGGAATAGACAACTATCCAAAACGCGCGGGGCCATTTCTGGCTCTCGCGGCCTCATACACGCTCAGTAGATGTCGGATGAAAGCCGAGCGCGGATGCCCCGGCCCGGCCGGCCTGGTTCCCCTGGAACACCTGCTGAAGGAAGCGCCGCCCACCGCGGTGGCCCCCCAACTCTCGCCGGGTCTGGGGTGCTTGCGCCCTCTGGTGCTCTCGTGAAGGAAGCTACGAGTCCTGGAGCCCGAGGAAGTCTTGCAGTGGGTTCTTCCAACACACACACTGTCCACAACCTCAACTAAGGAACAGGCACTGTAGGGAAGATTAGGGTCGTGTATGCGAAGGCCCCTCTTCCAGCCAGACCACCGATTCTGGATTCTCACAAAGATGCACTATTAAGAACTACTTTGAGGGGCTTTTGACACCACTCCTTACCCCACACCCCCTGCCCCCATTCCAAGATAGTCCCTGGTCTGTATCCCGGTTCCCTCATTTCTGACCCAGCTTCTTGCTGCTTTGCCTGGCCTGAGCCTCATGGGCTGCTGCCACTGCCCTGAAGGAGCAGTTCAGTCGTGAACTGGTACCCATATGGGATCCCAGCACTAGCAGGCAGATTAGCTTGCTATACCACTGTGCTCGCCCCCAAATCAGCATCTCTGGATGAGTTGCAGTATCTAACACACTTGAATGCTATGTAATAGCTGCTGTCCCTCCCTGTGCAGGGGCTGGCGATAAGACAAGCTTGCATGAACCATTACAGATGCGAATTTCCCACCGACTATTTTGGACTCAACGCTGGCTGCCTGCGGACAGAGATGCCTGACCCTGCTCTCTTGGGTCCAAGTGTCTGGGTTGCTCAGAAAGGTCCACCCCTGCCTCCTGGGAGAGAGGAAAAAGGGAGCTAAGTGGCTACCCAAAGGCCTCTGCCACGAGGATCGTGGGGGAGTCGTGAAGAAATGCCACAGCCTGCATCGGCTGAATGTATTCCAGTTTATTTCATCAGGACTGAATACATAATTGTGATGTGTCAAACTTATTAACGGGCATAAAAGAGCTGAAAAAATAAATAAATAAAAACCTGTAGCAGGAAAAAGCACACTGTGGATCATTCTCAAAATTTAGGCTGAATTTATTGCTCCTCTCATTGGACAGCGAAGGCTTTTCGTAGTAGACAGTATGGAGGAAAACTGGCTCAATCCAGGCCGTGAAACAAAACTTGGTCTCCGCGACAAAGGTGCATCTCAAGTAGTTCAGAAGGGCTGTTCAGGATCTAGCGGCCAGCGGAGCCCAGCATCCTCTAACGGGACCCGGGACAGACATCCTGTAGAAGGGATGGAAGCCCAGGGGATGCCAGCAGGGAGCCGCCAGCCGGCCCAGCCCCTGGCGAGCAGCATCGCTGTGAAAGGGATGTATGATGAGCTAACAGCAGGAAAACGGAAAACATCTCAACTTCTCTGAAACAAGACATCAAGAAGCAACCAACTTTTGCAATAAGCTAATTCCCTCATCTGCAATAAAGTTAAGAAGGCCTGTCCGCAGAGGGAGAGCCTTAACGTACAAACAAACAACGTGCCGTTCCCAGAGTTCTTTGCAACCGCCCAGTAATATGCAAGTAGATCCTGAGAATAAACTGCCGAAGGCTAAGAAGTGAGGCAACGAGCGGCTGCACTGGAGGAGAGGCCAGAAAGGGTGCTGTGTGTGAGAAAAAGTCAACAGAAGGTTCTCGGATCAGTACAAGCTCAATACAGTGCCAGCCCATTTACACCCACCCACCAGACTGGCAGCACTGAAGGAGTTAGCTGGTCAACAGCCAGTGCTGGAGAAGACAATACAGAGAAGGAAACCTTTTCTGGGGAGAAGGATCAATTCCACTTTGTAAAAAAATCTAGAAAACCACAGAAAAATTGGCCTTGTAGGATCTGTCATTGCATTCTGGGTAAGCATGCTGCAGAAGTTCCCCAGCAAGCACATATATGGGTTTGCGTCGTAGCCTGGTATGCAATGACAAGAAGTGGGATGCACCGACGGGCACCAACTCTGGGCTGTGTTGGCGAAATGTGGCCAGTGGTGCCGCGCGCTGGGTGACATAGGTCTCAAATCAGCAACGGGGCTGGATCTTCACACTCAGTGCGTGAACAAAGCACAGAACTGATGGCTCGGTGCGCAGAATGTGCAGTCAAAGCAAATTCGCACTCCAAACATCTTACAAGGAGACAGTCACATCCAAAGATATGTTGGGAAAAATCAGCAAAACATGGAGAAATGGATGAAGATGGGGAGGGAGAAGAAAAAAGGTGATAAACTCTGAAGACTGGGTGCGGGCCAACACAGTAGCACTCGTGCCTCTAGCAGACTGTGCCACTAGCTCTGGGAGGAGAACAAGGCCACGGCCAGCCCTTCAACTCCAGGCTCCCCTCACTGATGGAATTCCTCCTTCAAGCCTGAGGGCCACCTCAGTGCACACGTGCTTCGATGACGAAGGAGAGGAAGATGCCGGCGGAGGGGAAGCACTAAGGGTCAGAGATTGTCCTCCGGCATGTGAGGCTGCCGCAGCCAGGCCAGCACAGCGCAGCCAGCACACGGGCAGCCAGGCTTCACGCCAAGCGTGGACGGCAGGCCTCAAAGGTCACTCCTGGAGTTTGCAGCAGCTTCAAGTTAAACTTTTGCTAGCATTTACTGGGCAAAAAGTGGACAGGGGAGTTGCAGCAGGAACAGGCCTTCTCCACCAGACAGAGGGGTGTGGGCTTTCAGCCCCAGACCTCAATGAGGTCCCCATTCTCCATGCCCAGGTCGCCTGGCAGCTCCTTGCCCGAGAGCTTTGTCCCATCGAAGAAGAAGGAGAGTTTGTGTCCGCAAAGTCCCATGGCCTCCTCATAACGGGACATGAGGGTCTTGAGAGGGGACGCCTGGATGGAGAGGGAAACAGGAGTGAATGTGACAGGAGGCAAAGGGAGATGGCGTAGGGATGGGGTGCAGGGACATCAGGGCCCCCCACTGAGGAGTCCCCTTTCTTCCTCTGGAACACAGATGCCTCAGGGACAGGGTGGGGGCAGGTGCCTCAGGCTCGGGCGACAACAGGAGCTACAGGCAGTACCGAAAGTTATACACACCACGTTTCCCTCCTTACATACATCAGACGCTACTTTCAACCTCAATATATCATCATGATGGTGGTACTCATAGCCACAGTTAAGATGATGAGGGGGCCCAGTGTGGTAGCCTAGCAGCTAAAGTCCTCGCCTTGCATGCACCGGGATCCCATATGGGTGCCGGTTCTAACCCCAGAAGCCCCATTTCCCATCCAGCTTCCTGCTTGTAGCCTGGGAGGGCAGTGGAGGACGGTCCAAAGCCTTGGGACCCTGCACCCACGTGGGAAACCCGAAGAGGATCTAGGCTCCTGGCTTCGGATCGGCTCAGCTCCAGCTATTGTGACCATTTGGGGAGTGAATCATCAGACAGAGGATCTTCCTGTCTGTTTCTCCTCTTCTCTGTACATCTGACTTTGCAGTAAAAATTAAAAATAAAACATTTAGCGCTTCACGGCCTTTTGGCTAAGATCAAATGTAGTAACAAAACATTAAAAAAAAAAAAAAAGAAAAAATGAGGGGCCCAGCATGACAGCCTAGTGGCTGAATCCTCATCTTGCATCCACCGGGATCCCATATGGGTGTCAATTCACGTCCCAGCTGCTCCACTTCCCTTCCAACTCCCTGCCTGTGGCCAGGGAAAGCAGTGGAGAATGGCTCAAAGCCTTGAGACCCTGCACCTGCATGGGGGAGTTGGAAGAAGCTCCTGGCTTCAATTGGCTCAGCTCCAGCCACTGCAGCTGCTTGGGGAGTGAAACAGTAGACAAAAGATTTTTCTCTCTGTATCTCCTTCTCTCTGTACCTGCCTTTCCAATGAAAAAATAAATGAATCTTAAATAATAATAAAAAAAATAATAACACACTGAAGGCTATCTGAGTCCACGCATGGTGATGCCACACCTAGTTGGCACACACTCTGGATACACTGAACAACGGGCCGAGTCACATCTCGGGACAGAGCAGCATATGAGAGTTCATGATGTCCCCAGAATGGAGTGCAATGTAAAACTGGCTACATGCTTGTTTCTAGACCTTTCCATTGGCTATTTTCGGCCTGCAGTTGACTGACGGAATCGCTGGAACAGTACTCATTAAGGCCGACAACTGTCACAGCAGGTCACGCTGCCTGTGCAGACAGTGTTGGTGACAACAGTGCCTTCTCACTGCAGGCTGTCCTGAAGTGAGACTGTGTCCTAAAGGTGCAGCGACTGGCTGCCCACAGCTCGGGCACTGGCACTCCACAGGGCGCCTTTGACGGCTTTTACTGGCTGCTGACCAAGGGGCCTTCCCTGCAAGTCAGGAGACTGAAGGGCCACACGGACTAGGGCAGAGGGCCCTGGAGTCATAGGGAAGAGAGTGACCATGGCTCTTTCTGGCCTCCAGGCTGGGTGGGCAGCTAAGGGCACAGAGGGTGGCATCTGCAGCGAGTCAGCCGTAGGACCCAGTGAGAGTGGCGAGAGGGGTGAGGGAGGCCAGGAGGGAGGGAGGGCACGGAGAGCCTGCTCACGGGAGACAGCGACACCTCCAGCGTCTGGTGCTTCTCCTTCCCCTGCACCCGCACCCGAAGCTGCTGGCCCGTTCCCTTGGCCTCTGAAGAACTTGCTAGCACCACACAGTCTGCGGGAGACAGGAGCGGGGGCCAGGCCTGAGCTGGGGGCTGGAGGCAGGGCCCACCCACTGGGTTAGGCCCTCAGACACCCCCTCCAGCAAGCCCCAGCTCCCTGCCTTCCCCTTACCAATGATGTCGGCCACTCCGAGCTTCAGCGTCCTGGGGGTGGCGGTAGGGGACAGTTCCGTCTCTCCAAAGAGCAAGAGGATCCTGCTTGGGGACACCCCAAGATGGGTGGCCATGTGGTCCACCACACTCTGTAGGGGCTCCGACTAGGGAGTCAGGACAAGGGGCAAAGGAGGCCTTCCCGTCCTGTGAATTCCCAACCCTCAACCCAAAGACCCCCGTCCCACACTGAAGTTTCAGGCCTCAGCTATTTGCTGAACTCTGCTGTAACATTTACCCTATTTTGCCTGGCAAGATATAAAATAAAACAGTGTCAGTAAGGGGTTCAGAGGGAGACCACAAAGAAATAAAGTATTCATGGGGTAGGAGACAAAGGGAGTAAGTAGGAATTGCAGCAAACTGGAAGCCACGTGCCCCATGTTCTCAACAAGCAGCTCTTGCACAGCCTTGACTGACCGGTACCCAGTGGGAAGATGGGCCTGTGTGACCATATTTTCTATTTTTAAGAAATCTGGACCTTTGTAGCAAATGACTACCCATTGCAAAAGTTGATGACAAATGCCTACTGTAAAAGCATTCCGCAGGGTGGCACACCTCTAGGTGCTAACATCCCATATGGGCTCTAGTTCATGTCCCGGCTGCTCCACTTCCCATCCAGCTCCCTGCTTGTGGCCTGGGAAAGCAGTGGAGGACGGCCCAAAGCCTTGGGACCCTGTACCTACACTGGGAAACCTGGAAGAAGCTACTGTATCCTGGCTTCAGATCAGCTCAGCTCCAGCCATTTGGAGAGTGAATCAGCCGATGAAAAATCTTTATCTCCGTATCTCCTTCTCTATATGCATCTGCCTTTCCGATAAAAACTTTTAAAAATCTAAAAAATAAATATGTGAAGTTTGCCAAAAAACAGAGTGAAGAAAAAACTACAGGCATGCATGAACAACAAGTTCAAGAGTACACAGGGCTGAAAATGCAGGTGGACAGGGAGGCACAATGCAAAAGAGAGGCCTTGGCCAGCGCACCCCTGCCAGGCTCCTCAGCCCCTCTGAGGGCAGCGCCTCCTGGCTCGGGCCCTCCCCCGACACTCACCATCCTGACAGGCAACCTGACCAGGTCAGCACGGCATCGAATCTTGAGTGGGAAGAGCCGGTGGTGCTCGGGGAATGCAGGTCCCTCCACCAGGACCACCTCGTCGTCCTGGCCCTGGGGGTTGGGCTCCTGCTGTTGCTTGGGACTCAAGGTGGATCGCAGGTCCTGGAGGCGCTTGTTCACTTCCCTGGGGAGCACAGAGAACTTAGGATCAGCTGGGATCCTTCCCATACCCGACAGGAGTTCTCCCCACCCCAGCCAGAACCCTTCCCTCCCTCCCCTCTTAGCACCTTAACTTCTTGAGCGCCCGACTGTGCTTTCTGCTTTTGCTCCTTGGTGCAGACGGAGGCAAAGAATCATTCTCTACTCTGCAGAGAGAGAGAGAGGTTAGAGCGAGGCAAAGCGCAAGAGCGCAACCCCCGCGTGCAGGAGCAACCACAGGACCCAAGAGAGGGTGAATGAGCACTTTTCGGGAGCACCCGCTTTGCTGGAAGACAAAATGAAGGCAGCAGATAGGGAAGTGCTGCTACAGTATTGCCACCATCATGTGACCCAAACATTAGGGAGAGAAATGCCTTACTTCAGGGTAAGTCACTGGAAGGCCGGTAAGGTGACAGAGCAGGTCAAGCCACTGCCTGCAATGCCGGCATCCCATATGAGTGCCGAGACCTGGCTGCTCCACTTCCAAACGAGCTTCCTGCTAAAGGACAGCCCAAGGCTTTGGGTCAGAGAACTGGACGAAGCTCCCGGCTGTGGCCTGGCCCAGCCCATCTGGGGAGTGAACCAGTGGATGGAGGGTCTCTCTCTCTCTCTTTCTGTAACTCTGTCATTCAAATAAATAAATCATAAATCGTAAAAAAAAAAAAAAAAAAAGTAATAATTTCCTGGGTGAAGATTTAGTAACACCGAGTGCTCCGTGGGTGCTAACCCTTAACCGTCTCAATCCCTGTAACAGGCCCACCATCACCCCCAGCTCACAGAACAAGGAGAGAATCAGAGGAGACAGAATGCCCCCTGCACGCCCGTCTCACACTCCCCTCCCCACTGGAGGGTCCTGGGCGGCCTGCTGCCCTCCTGTGGGGTGGACCACCTCTCCCTCCAGGAGCTCCCCCTCAACCCTTCCATCTCAGCACTCTCCATCTCCCCCACCTCTGTTAGCAGCCATCCCAGGGTCCTGCCCGCCTCTGTGGAGCCTTCCCACCTCCTCCCTAAATGCAGGCCCAGCTGCCCTGGGCTCACTCACAGAAGTCCCTTCTCTTCCTTCTCTTTGTTCTCATCGCTACTCCGGAGCTTCTTCTTCCAGGGAGAGCTTGTGGTTAGGGAATCCTCAAGTTGAGAACTGCTAGAGTCAGCCATGTCCGTGTCTGGGGACAGGGGAGGAGAGAGTAGAAGAGAGTTAGCAGGGAGAAGGCTGGGGGGACGGGTGGAGGGAGACATGACAAGGGAGCACGGGGGTGAGGCTACCACGGGGGATGCCCACAGCCACGGGCCTGGTTCAAATCCCAGCTACTCTGCTTCCGATCCAGCTTCCTGCCAAGCTGCACGGGAGGCAGTGACAGCTAGATGCTTGGGCCTCTGCCACCCACCAGATGGAGATTCTAGCTCCTGGCTCTGCCTTGGCTGTTACAGACATTTGTGGCATGAATCAGAAGCTGGAAGATCTCTCTCTGTCTCTCTTTCAAGTAGATATAAATAGATGAACAATCAGGCCAGAAAGAGAGAGAAGATCAGAGCCATCAAACACCCACAGACTCACTGGAGCTTAAGGGACCCAACTGTCCTTTGTTAAACATCATTTATTCCAACTTAAGTTTATTTATTTTTTTAAAGGTGAGGAGACTGTAACTTCAATATTTTTGTTTTCTTTTTTTTTCAACAGAAAGATTTTCCATCTGCTGGTTCAGTCCCCAAATGGCTGTAACAAGTGGAGCTGAGCTGATCCGAAACCTCTTCTGAGTTTCTTTCCCACATTAGCACAGAGTCCCAAGGCTTTGGGCCATCCTCCGTTGCCTTTCTGGGACATAAGCAGGGAGCTGGATGGAAGGTGGAGCAGCCAGAACACAAACTGGCACCCCATATGGGATGCTGATGCTCTCGGACATCACGCCAGCCCCTACATTTCTTATAAAAAGAAACCAGGTATTACTTCAGAACACAGAAGTTTTTCCTACTTGCCTGCTGCCAATGAAAGATCAACCCAAACCATAAAGATCAATCCAACGAGCAAACAGTGACCACTAATGCTGGGCCAGTGGTCCTGGACTGGGGCACCGTGCCTCCCGGGGCCATCCATCAACGACCAGGGCCAACCTGGACTCTCAGTGTGCCGGGGGAGGAGTTGGGGACAAGCTCCTGGCATCTAGTGCCAAGAGCTCGGGATGCTGCTAAATTCTAACAGCTCCACAAACCACAAAGAATTTTCCAGTCTAACATGTCAACAACACCAAAGTTAAAAAACAAAAAATAGGGCCCGGCGTGATGGCCTAGCAGCTAAAGTCCTCGCCTTGAATGCACTGGGATCCCATATGGGTGCCGGTTCTAATCCCAGCTGCTCCACTTCCCATCTAGCTCTCTGCTTGTGGCCTGGGGAAGTAATGGAGGACAGTCCAGAGCCTTGGGACCCTGCATCCGTGTGGGAGACCTGGAGGAAGTTCCTGGCTCCTGGCTTTGGATCGGCACAGCACCAGCCGTTGTAATCATTTGGGAAGTAAATCATCGGACGGGGAAGATCTTCCTTTCTGTCTCTCCTCCTCTCTATATATCTGACTTTGCAATAAAAATAAATAAATCTTAAAAAAAAATCCTGTCCAAGCTAAATCTGACAGTCACTGGGGGCTGGCGAGTCCACACTCCTCACAAGTTCCCAAGGAGCACGTAGCACTGCAGGGCCTCCAGTGTCACGCAGGCAGAGGTCTTTCACGCTGCACTGCCACATCCCACGTGAGTCCCAGAGCACACGTATAACCAAGAGATTATTCTGGTTAATTCTCACCTACAGCCCTTGGTACAGGTTCCCTCCCCCCGGCATTCCCATTTTCCCAATGAGGAAAATGAAGCATGGAAGAGATCAAGGAATTTGTCCCCAAGTCACAGAGCGAGGGGACTGGCACTGAACCCAGGCATGACGCTGTGTTTCTTCTTCCGGGCGCCGATGTCTTGGCCTCAGGCCTGCACCAGTCCAGTTTCACTTTCCTATTAGACTTGATTCCTACCCACTGTCCTTGGGAGAGCGCCAACAATCACGCCGCTGGGGGAGGCAAGGCCGGGCAGCCCTGCTAAGAGCAAAGGACGGTGACCATTGTGACACAGGCTATTAAGCCCTCCCTTGCGATGCCCACATCTCATATGAGTGCCAACAAAAATGCCAGCTGCTCCTCTACTTCCTTCTGGGCTTCCAATTAAGGCGCCGGGAGGCAGTAAGTGACGCCTCGGCCCCTGCACTTGCCAAGTCCCAGATGAAGTTCTGGGTTTCTGGCTTTGGCTTGGCCCTGCCCTAGCTGTTGCTGGCAATCAGAGAGTAAACCAGCAGAGTGTCATTCTGCCTTGTCAAATAAATAAATCTTTAAGAAAAAATAAGGAGGATCCAGCGTGGTAGCCTAGCAGCTAAAGTCTTCGCCTTGCATGCGCCAGAATCCCATATGGGCGCTGATTCTAATCCTGGCAGCTCCACTTCCCATCCAGCTCCCTGCTTGTGGCCTGGGAAAGCAGTCGAGGATGGCCCAAAGCCTTGAGACCCTGCGCCCACATGGGACAGCTGAAGGGAGCTCCTGGTTTTGGATCACCTCAGCTCCGGCCACGGCAGGCATCTAAAGCGTGAACCAATAAAGAAATGAAAGATCTTTCTGTCTCTCCTTCTCTCTGTAAATCTGCCTTTCCAATGAAAATTTTAAAATCTTTTTTTTACAAAAAGGGAGGGAGTCCCTGAAATCTGCACATCATTACATTCCTGGCGTCCATCTCAGTCAGGAGGAGGGGCGCTCTGACCGCACTTCCCAGCCCTGGAGGGATGGTGTGCAGCGCTGGCTGGGTCGCAGGAGCTCAGGAGACCCCAGACCTCAAAGCTGCAGTCGCCAGGGCGTCCCCTCAATCAGCCCAGCACCGGGTACCCCAGCCCCTTACCTTCTTCATCCCCCGCGGGGTACAGTTTCAGGAGGGACAAGTGATCTGGGATGAGTTGAAGGCTACTTTGCACCTGCACATAACAAACAGATGGGTCACACCGCGCGAGTCCCAGGGGCACCACCCTTCCTTCCCCTGACACACCGTTAGTTCTCCTTTTTTTTTTTTTTTTCTAACTATGTCCCTAGCCATCCCAGTACCCTAGACATCTAACGGATTTGGGCTCCGTGGGAAGCCCAGCTCCCTGGCTTCCTTAGCAACGGGCTCCCAAACAGCAGTCCCCGCGCCTCCAAGGCTACAGCTCGGAGGGAATCCCTTACTCCCAACATAGCACGCCAAAACCCCAGACACCTCTCCGCTGGCCTTGGCCGCCGCTGGGTGCCCGCAGCCTCCTCACCTTGCCCGAGTACACCGGCACCACCGGCGCGGTCTCTGGGTCCAGCACCAGCCGCCGCCGCCGCTGCCGGACCACGGCCCGGGGGGCCCCCGCAGGCCTCGCCTCCGACCCTTCACTGTCACTGTCGCTGTCGACCCGGGGCTTGGCCGGCACGGGAGATGCCGGGGATGGGACCTCAGCCGGGTCGGCGACATCGCACGCCGTGGAGACCTCCAAGACATCCTCGTCGCTGTCGCTGACTAAATCCACGAGCACCGAGTCCAGACCGTGCCGGGCTGGAGGCTGCTGGACCCGGGGAGGTCGTCCTCGGCCGCCCCGGGCCCCCCGGACCCCCCGGGCCCCTCGCCCGACGCCTCCGCCTCTGCCTCGGGGTTTCCGGCCGCGTCTCCTCGCAGGTTCCGCCATGGCCCTCAAGCTTAGTCGCCGCTGCGGCCACACACGCCCGCCTCCGCTCGCCGCGTCCCGCCCCCTCGGGGACTTCCCTCTTCATTGGATGAGTAGGCTGCTCGTCAACACTTCTCCCCGCCCACCAACCCTGGGTCCCGCCTTGCACGTTTTTCATTGGCCCATATATCCGCCTATCACACATCCACCACCGAAAGAAAGGCGCCAAAGATTCCAATCCCTTCAGCATAAACGGTGTTGGCTTGGAAGTCCTCCCGGCTCACTCATTGGCCAGGCTTCATCCTTTTTGGCAGACCTTCTTCCGATCCCGCCCATTGAAGAGGCCTGGCTTCCTGATGGGAGAGCGAGGCATGCTGGGCATTGTAGTCCTCAAAAAGATGGTTGAGGACTTTGTCCCTCTGTTAAGAGTTGGAAAGCCTGCTGAACTCTCTAGAAACTGTAGAGGGCCGGCAGTGTGTTCTAGCAAGTAAATGCCGGCCCAGTGTCGGTTCTAGTCCTGGCTGTTCTTTCTCCTTCCGTGTAAATGCACCTGGGAAAGCATTAGGAAGGTGACCCAAGTCCTTGGGCCCCTGTATCCCTAAGGGAGACTCCAGAAGAAGCCGGCTCTGGCTCCTGTGACCCTCTAGGGACTGAACCAGCAGATGGAAATCTCTGTCTCTGCTTCTCTGTCTGTAGTTCTGACTTTGAAATAGATAAATAAACCTTAAAACGAAAACAGGAAAACCTGTGGAATCGGCCTGAGACGAACACACATCCCCTCTGGGTACCTGGTGTTTCTAGGGCCGAGCGGAGGTGACTCCTGAAGGAGCCGAGTGCATCAGAAGACAAGGACACTTCTCACAAGCCAGGAACACCTGAGAACCGTGGCACACCGAGCAACAGACCGAGTTCCGGAGCTCTCTCTCTCTTTCCTGCCTCCCTCTGGCCCCAATCGACAGAAGAAAGCTTCTCTAACCTCAGTGGAGGTCAAGCAGAACCTCCCATCCAGAAATGTTTCAAGTGCCCAGTCTGCGCAGAAGATCAGCACCCGCCATGATGGCGCACGACAAGGATGCACAAACAAGGGCTTCCGCCTTCTGCCGTCCCCCACACTGTACAATGTATACATTCCTCCATCTTATACTAAGATGGATAAAAGCCCAGTGCTGTGTACCCTGGGTAACCGTTTCCCTCACCTGGTCACCCTGACTTGTGGAAATGGTCCTGGGCTGTCTTCTACCAGGAAGTAGTTTGTCAGACTCTCTTTGTCTCTCTCTCCTGGCTCTTCTTCATGTCCATGTTTCTCGCTGGTATAAAGGCCTTCTGTGTGACACACTGCATCTGATGCTTTGGATTTGTGGCCCAGAAAGCTAACAGAGGGCCCAGCATGACCATCTAGTGGATAAATCCTCGCCTTGCATGTTCCAGGATCCCATATGTTGCCTGTTCATATCCTGCTGCTCCATTTCCCTTCCAGCTCCCTGCTTGTGGCCTGGGAAAGCAATAGAGGACGGCCCAAGTCCTTGGGACCCTGCACCCACATGGAAGACCCAGAAGAAGCTCCGGGCGCCTGGCTTCAGATCAGCTCAGCCTCAGCCATTAGGGCTACTTGGGGAGTGAACCAGCAAACAGAAGATATTTCTCTCTGTATCTCCTTCTCTCTGCCTTTCCAATTTAAAAAGAAAAAATTTGCAGGGGAATTAGTGGACATGCTAGCCTAGTGGCTAAAGACCTCACTTTGCATGCACCACGATCCCATATGGGCGCAGTTCTAACCCCAGCAGTCCCACTTCCCAGCTCCCTGTTTGTGGCCTGGAAAAGCAGTCAAGGATGGCCCAAAGCCTTGGGACCCTGCATCCGCATGGGAGACCCGGGAGAGGCTTCTGGCTCCTGGCTTCAGATCGGCTCAGCTCTGGCCATTATGACTACCCAACGAGTGAGTTGGCAGATAGAAGATCTTCCTCTCTGTCTCTCCTCCTCTCTGTATATCTGACTTCCCAATAAAAATAAGTAAATATTTAAGAAAAAAATTGTTGGACCAGCGCAGTGGCCCAGCAGGTAAAGTCCTTGCCTTGAACATGCTGGGGCCCCATGTGGCGCCGGTTCTAATTCCGGCAATTCTACTTCCCTTCCAGCTCCCTGTTTGTGGCCTAGAAAAGCAGTCTCTCTGTCTCTCTTCCTCTCTGTATATCTGATTTTGCAATAAAATAAAAAAAAAAATAAAATCTAAAAAAAAAAAAAAAGAAAAAGAAAAAAATTATCAAAGCTAGCGGAGGTAGAGAAAGTGGAATAGCCCAGTCTTCTATCTTCTGTTGAGCCACTACGTCACCTCCCACACTTTCCTTCTGCCAAACTTTTTAAAAGGAATTTACTTATTTGAAAGACCAACAGAGAGAGGTAAAGGCAAATCTTTTATCTCTTAGTGTATTCTCACATATGGCTGTAGTACTCAGGTTCGGTCCAGGCTGAATCCAGGAGCTGGGAGCTCCCTTCAGGTCTCCCCCACATATTGGACAATTACCTGCTGCCTTCCTGTGTGTGTGAAGTGGGGAGCTGGATCAGAAGTGGAGCAGCCAGGATTGAAACCGCCACGCCAATATGGGATGCCCGCATTGCAAGCAGTGGTCCCACACATTGTGTCTCAGTGCTGAGCCTCCTGCATGCACTTTCTAAGGTGATGTTACACACCCCAGGGTACAGTGTTCCCATGACACCCACATGATATGCAGTGTTCACGTCACTTGTTCCTCACACATCCATTTGGAACAGTGTGTCAACCCCACTCAGATACCACCCATGCACCTGCACCACTGCTGCCACCTGATAGCCCCTGGACGGACACACACACACACACACACACTCCAAGTGCCACACACACACACACACACACACTCCAAGTGCACAAGCTCACATCTGTGATGCTCAGAGCTGGCTCAGCTCAGGTCAAAACGCCAGGCACATAATGCCCGGCAGGTGGCGCTGTCTTCCAGGAAACAAAGGTCCCTAGGCTCGGGCAGAGGGGACTCCAAGGACTTTTCCGGCTCCCCAGAGTCTTCAGCTTTCCTCCTACTTCTTCATAGCCACGCTGATGACAGTCACGTCGCAGGAATGACGGTTAGGGAGACAAAGTAACCCCCGCGCCCGAAAACACAGATTCAAAGGGGCCCTGCAGAGAGTGGGGACTCAGAAATAGCTCCGAAACTTGTGCTTGGTAAAAGCTGCTCTCGTCTGTACAGGAACTCTGCATTGGAACAGTAAAACAGCAGGTGCAGGCTCTCTCTGAGGTCCTCGTGGACACTGATGGCCAGGTCACTGCCTGGCCTTCTCAGAGTATCCTCAGGGTCATCCAAGACTGCTTTTGGTCTGTTTACTAGTTTTAAAATCTGAGAAACAGAATCAGGGAGCTCGCATTTGCTGGTTCATCTCCCCAGATACCGATGGCAACGGGGGCTGAGTCAGCTTGACGCTGGAACTCAATCTAGGTGTCTCACGTGGTGTCAGGAACCTCATCATGCAAAGCCATCACTACTGCCTCCTAGGGTGCACATCAACCAGAAGCTGAAGTTAGGAGCTAAAGCAGATACCAAAACCCGGGCACACTGATGTGGAATAAGATCTCTCTCTCGGGCCTGGCACAGTGGCCTGGTGGCTAAAGTCCTCACCTTGAACGTGCCAGGATCCCATATGTGCCCCGGTTCTAATCCCGGTGCCCCACTTCCCATCCAGCTCCCTGTTTGCAGCCTGGGAAAGCAGTTGAGGACAGCCCAAAACCTTGGGACGCTGCACCCACGTGGGAGACCTGGAAGAGGCTCTGGGCTCCTGATTTCAGATTGACTCAGCTCTGGCTATTATGGCCACCAGGGAGTAAGTCGGCAAATATATGTTCTTCTCTGTCTCTCCTCCTCTCTGTATATCTGACTTTCCAATAAAAATAAAATAAATCTTAAAAAAGACAGAAATGAAACAAGTCCTTCTCAGGACCTGGTGCAATGACTCAACAGGCTAATCCTTCACCTTCAAGCTCCGAGATCCCATAGGGGCTCTACTTTGTGTCCCAGCTACTCTACTTCCCATCCAGCTCCCTGCTTGTAGCCTGGGAAAGCAGTCGAGGACAGTCCAAAGCCTTAGGACCCTGGACCCATGTGGGAGACCTAGAAGAGGATCTGGGCTCCTGGTTTTAGATCAGCGCAGCTCCAGCCATTGCAGCCGCTTGGGGAGTGAATCAATGGACAGAAGATCTTCCTCTCTATCTCTTCTCCTCTGTATATCTAACTTTGCAATACAAATAAAATCAATTTAAATAAATAAATATATATTTTTAAAACGTTATTCTCCAGGCCCTGGCATGCCGTAGGGAAGCAGCGCCCCCTAATGGTTCAGTGGTGGACAAGGCCATGGTGGGCAGTCAGACTCCCAAGCCTGGATTCAGAGCCTACCACACACCCGGTGCAAATACCTGCTCAGGGAAACTGAGGCATCATTGCTCAGAAGCCTGTAGGACTGTGGCACAGCCCAAGCCAGCTGGCCTAGGGCACCGCAGGAAGCTGGGGGGACTCCCACAGGCAGCAGAACCCAAAGAAGCAAGGAGAATTCCAAGGGACCAGCATTTGGCACGGCGTGCTCCCGTCTCATCCTGGAGCCCCTAGATTCGAGCTACTTCCCAGCTTCTGACCACAGCTCCCTGCACATGCACACCCTGGGAGGCAGCCAGGGGTGGCTCTAATACTGGGGTCCCTGCCACACCCACCACAAGACCCGGATTCGGTTCCCAGCTTTGGGCTAGCCCAGTCCCTGCACTAACAAGAACATCTTGGGGGTGAACTCATGGACGGAAGTGCTCAAGCTCTCTCTGTCTTGTCAGAAAAATGCAAAGAAATAATATATATAAACATTACCAAGAATACAGGAGACCCTCAATAATTAAAGACCCAGGAGTGGTGCAGGATGAGTGCCACCTCTGGGACTGTCTCTTTTTCACCAGGTACCGGGCAGTCAACTGCCAAGGGAGCAGGTGGTGGGCATGCAGCTGCTGG